AGTTTTGCTGTTAGAAAATAAACGATCAGTTACTTGAATCATTTTAAATCCTAATAAAAAAGAAATTAGTCAGATGGAATAGCTTAAAAAAAACCCCCTAAGACCTCAAGATAGGGTTTATTAATACCACCACCGATTAAACTGCTGTTGTCTGTTGTTAATTCATTCTTGTATTACCCAAGTTTTCATATCGAAATTTCATGTGGAAAGGAAAATAAGAATGGATGCTAGAACATTGTGAATAAAATATTAGATGTTTTTCTGTGATACCATTATAGAAACAGTCTGGAGATACAGTATGATATTACTTGACTGATTTGATTTTTACATTTGAAAAGAGAGGGCCTTTATAAATGCTGAGATCAGTCTAGACAATAGCCTTAAGCTTTAGTCAATTGGAGAAAGTCCCAAATGTCTCCAACCAGATTTAGATTTTTTGAAAATCAGATTGTCTGTCTTACCTTTCTGTCTCCCTTTCTTCTTTTCTGTCCCAGTTCTCTTCTAAATAGGAAACGTCCTAAACAGGACATTTAAAAATCTATGGTGATTTCAATCTCTTATTTGAATTCCAGTAGTTCAAAAGACAGAACAAAATAGCACTGTTTTATGACCAGGTTGAGTCACTGAATTGTTCTTTAGTATGTTTAATTAAAATACATTGGACTTCAAGAAGTTCATTTCAAGAAAGAGTTTCCTAGCATTTATACAATCTTTATTCTCTTTTTATCCTTTGAACTAGTCAAAGTGGACTTATAAATTCCTAGGAGAGATTTTTATTCTCCTAGGAATTTATGATTCCACTTCAAATACAGTAGTTCAGTGAAATATGAACTTGGAGTTTGGAATCCATGGAGAATCACTTAAAGATTTTTAATCATGTTTTTTCATTTGTCACTTTATAAAAAACATTTCAATGGATTTCTCAGGACAAATGATTGTGGTTCAAATTAGAGGGCAAGGTGTCTTGCTTTTTTGGCTCTCTAATGATAAGACTTGAAAAAAACTACAGGAAACACCTTAAAACGTATGCATTTTTATTGATTTACTTATTCACCTAGAAGCAATATTTCCATATAGTTTATTATTTTTCAACTATTACAATTATATAGTTATTTTCTATCAAGCATACTGTATAAATATGAATGTCTCTCATATTGCCAAGGACACATATAGGAAAACGATGAGAGAACCTTCTGGAGATCTTTCACCCACATGCGTTAACTTGTAGGTCACAAAAGTTTAAGAAAAACATTCCATGCTTACTAGACCCTTGGAAAATATTTACAAGGGGCACTTTCTAAGTGTGGGGCTGTGAACAGAGCAACTCTCCTCAAAGCATTAAGGCATAAACAACATTTGAAAGGCTTGGTATTGTTGCTATGAAGGTTCCTTATATGTGTCCATGCAGAGACAACATTTCTGCTGAGTCTGTCACTGGATCATAAGGTACCTCCAAACTTAGTCCTTGAAGCATTGACATTCTCTATCATATTAAAGTTGTGAGTAGTTACACTGTTGAAATTTTTACCTGTGAAACATCACTTTTGGTGAAGTAAAGTGGCATTCATTATAAAATGAACTATCTGTACATACGATGTTCAGACAACATAAGAATGGCCTTAAAATAGCCTTACTAAGCTTTTGAGAAGATACAATGATTCGAGTATCACCCACTTCTCTGGATGGTTTTATACAGCTTGTCCCAAAAGTGCTTTTTGAAAAGGTAACTGGACTTTGTTTTTCCTTGAAGACATTTCGCTTCTCATTCAAGAAGCTTCTTCAATTCTGACTGAATGGTGGAGCGTGCTCAGAGTGCTAACTCTCATTAACACTCTTTCTGAGAGTCATTGAGACTACTTGAAGGGAGGGAAAGGAGTCCTTTCAGCAGTTCCAGGAAGGTTCCACACCCCTGTTTCTACTATTCAGGTGACCCTGAGGGGTCCAAGTAGTCTCAATGACTCTCAGAAACACCTCTAAGTAGTCTCACTGACTCTCAGAAAGAGTACTAACAACCAGATGACTGCAAGGTATATAAATCCTTCCATCCTCCACCAATCAATCAGAACTGAAGAAGCTTCTTGGATGAGAAACAAAATGTCTTAAAGGAAAAACAAAGTCCATGTGCCTCTTGAAAAAGTAGCTTTGGGACAATCATGACCTCAATGACTGAGAAACTCCATAGACTATAGTTTTATACAGCTTGATTTATTGTTTAGAAATCCAAATGCTGACAATAGTAACCTATTAAAATAAAACTAGCTAAAATAAAGCACAAGATAATTGTGACGTCCTTTAAACCAGTTTGTGTTGTGTGCCTTTATAACAATAGCCATATTTAGACTCATGTGCAGAAGCTGTTATTTATATTACAATAGCTGTGTTTCAGTTTTCTAAATACTAATTTGCTTACAAAAAGAATGTATTGTTCAATTAATCTATGAAAGTTGTATTCTTGTGTAGTTAAATAACTGTTTCTATTGAGAATTGTCATTTTAATGGATATTGCAAATCTATTAAAATTAAGCTTTGAAATTGCAGATATTTCAAATATAAAGAAAGAAGAATGTAAAGAATGCAAATTCATGGACATCTAGAACGAATATGCAGTATTTTTTTTAAAAAAGTAGTCTACTTTTAATAAGTCCTTCATACATGCTTCTATTTCATATTTGAAGCCCCATTTACTCCATAAATTAAAAGAGATTTATGCAGGACTTGAAGTTAAAAGCAATATACAATATGGCTTATGGTCAAATGTGTTTCAATTTAGGGAATTTTAGGCACAATTCAAGTACTTCTGCATTGGAAAGGAACTTTACACTGCTGCATAACTCTCTGATAGATAACAGTTTTTTATAGCTGATATTTTCATAAAAAACCTAATATGGTAATGACATATCTTAAATATGTATATATAAGCTGTAGATTTTCTTGTGGGCTAGGTAAATAAAATAGTTGAATTATTGTATGTATTGCTTTTATTTAACATCATTTAATGCCATTATGCTCAACTTGGTGACAACACACAGACAACCTTGGCTGAGCTCCTAAAAAGCTCAGCAGGATAATACTAATTCTACATGTGTGGTTGGATTTTTCATGAAAACGTGAAGAAAAACACACCCTCCTCCCAATCCTAGAAAACCTGTTTCCACTCCCTCTTATGAAGTGTTGTCTCCAGGATATCGTTCAGAGTTGAATCAAAGGAGATTACTATTAAATCCAATGCATAAAAATTATTAATTCTTGCAATAGTAGAAACATAATAGTACTTTTTGATTTGTGTACGGTTTGAAAGGACACCAGGCTGCTTTACAAAATATAGGTGGAGTCCATGGACACACACATTTGCAGATCTTCGCATGTATATGCCCAAGTATAACTAAAGGCATTCCAGAGCCCCATATTTCAATGTCTTCTCAAGCAGCATTTAAAAGAAAATTACACTTATTATCCCATGATAATGGGGTTGGGCTGGGAGAGAATAACTGGCCCAAAGTTACCCAGTTGATTTTTGTGCTTATTGTGGAACTAGAATTCCTAGTCTCCTTGTTTCTAGCCTTGTGTTTTAAGCAAGCACCAGACCAAATTTTTAGGTTTTTTTTAATTGAATTTATTTCTAGGCCTAGCCAGTTCAGATTTATCCTCATTTTAAAAAGCCTGAAAATTAAATAACTATGTTTGTGGCAATTTTGTTGAGAAACTTTATATAAAAATATTCCCAAATGAACAATTAAAATATAAATTCTTATTTGTATCCTGAACTACTAACCCTGGGGTTAGTTTTTTATATTCCTAAATTTATTACATTTTTGGAAAGATTTTAAAAATTTTGTTTTAAAAAATGTGTGCCATCTACACATTTCTTAGCTTCAAGCCTATAAGACATAATAATTAATTTAGTGAGCAGGTATTTTCTACTATAAATGGACAGAAAGAATTAATGATCAAATCAAAGATGTCAGTCAAACATCTCAGTAGGTATTAGGAATCATATCTTAACAATATAGCATCCTTAAGTACAATGAGCCTATGTCTGTCTAGGAATCTGGCCTTATTGGGTCTTGATATACTTTGTGGTACATGATAAATAACATAACCATTAAATATTTAAAAAATAAAAAAATCCAATGTTGTGATAGCGGTTTGAAATCTGTGTGACGCTTAAATAGAATTATTTTGTGGAAAGATAATTATATTTCAATGGATACAGGGATTTTACAAGAATAAATCAATCTGTCTTAAATTCTGTTGGAACAGTTCTGTTCATTCTCAAGCTAGAAAAATGGTTGTCAGGGTCCATCAAAGATTTTGTTACCTGGCACAAAGAATAGATGGTGTCCTTTTCTTATTCATTGTGCAAAACCAACTGATTACAAAATACCCTTCATGAAAACTGCAGGATTGTTTGGAGACTACAAGCAACCTATAAACTAGCTTCTATTTCCTCTTCCACAACAACTTGTGGAAGTAGGAGCAAGAGCGGGAGATAACAATCATGTTCCAGATAATTAACGGATGACCTTGATGGTTACAAGTTGCTTTTACATGCCACTGCAGTAATAAGATCTATTAAAGTCGTACATTAAAAAATCATATTCTGTGTTACACCAAGTTAGTTATAATGAACATTTTAAGGAAAACAGAGATGTTTCAAGTCCCAGATAATTGCAGACTAGGCTACATTAGAATAAAACGGTATGATGGGGAAAATGTTTATAAAAGGTATAGTAGATATCAAGAGATAGAAGAAATACATAGATAGTTAAATATATAAGGATGAAAAAGTTCAGGTCCAACCTCTTTAAAAAGACAAAAACAGTTTTTAATGTTTTGGGACCTTTGTTTTAAATTTAACAAAGTAACGTAATATAATGTAATGCCATATGTATTTATTGTAAATTTACATTTTAAAAAATGAGGAACCTGGTTCATATTGATATTGTTTCAGATAAAAGTCTTTATTCTTTTAATTGTTATGTTTGGTTTCTCCTTTCTAGAAAAAAGCTGGCTTAGCAATGTAGAAGTATTCCATTTGTGTCATAGAAAAACTTCATGGATGTCTCTGAAAAAAAATCACCTTCGACTGGAACTACTTGAAAGGTTATTTAATGAAGCTGCTTCTGCTGCCTCAGGGGCTTTAAGGCATGGTGGATTGTCTCATTTTTTGAACTTCTCTAGTGTCTCAGGAAATGGAGTACTGAACATTTCCTTCATGATGTATATTAAATGATCTGCGTTTGAACTTAGAACAAGCTTGCTTTAAAGCTCTTAAGGCCTAATAATGTACTTATTGGTTGTCTATAGGTCACATCTTTCTGGAATTTAAAAAGCATCAATATTAAAAGTATAGACCAATTTCATACCTGTTTAAATGTTATGGCTAACAAATTAAAATCATAAGAAATACCATTCTTGTAAAACCTTTATAGAAAAGCCATAACATCTAAGCTACATTTAAATAGGTTGAGATTTGTTGTATAGATGTGACTCATAAAAATTAAGATTTTTTTTGCCTCTCCAAAACACAAATCTTATTTTGTTTCTTTCTTCATAAATATTGTATGTGGATTGCACTATGTAACTTAACAAAGTTCTTCCTTATAGAAAAATAACTGCATAAGAATCTACTTCTCAAACTTCTTGTAGCTAATTCAAAAAGTATTTTAACTTGAATTTATAGTGTTATACGTGCAGTAACAGTGATAGTAGACATTATTTTACAATAAAAGATCTATACAGAACATTTTGCTGAATAGGTAATAGCAAGCATGTCCATTTGAATCTCCTTAAATGTTTAGGAGAGTTTAGTCTGTCTTACTTGGTTCTGCAGGAAATATGAGGGTTTTTCTTTCTTTCAAGGGCATTTAATCTTGAACTCTTGTCTTCAATAGTTCTTGAGTGGCTACCTTTCAGGTACTCATCCTCATTGTGGGATATGATAAACATTAAGTTTTTAAATGCTGATTCCAGGGTAGAAACATCTTAGCCAAAATGATAGCAATAAGGTCTCCAATAGCAAAGACAAAATATATTAGACTTTGCTATTTCCTTTCTCATTTCAGGAGAAAAGTCAAAAGTTAATAAATATTAAAAGTAGAATCATTGCTTGCTAACCAGTTTGAAACAACTATCAATTTTACTATGGGTAATTTTAAGTAAACTCTACCATTGATGTAAAGGTGGTAAGCAATTCTTAGTAACAATTATTTATTTTAATGCAGGGATCACCACCCTACAGGCTGTGGCCCACTAATGAGCCATAGCTTATTTGCAACCAGGCTGCATGAGTGGTGGACCGGTGTGCGACCACATGCATGCACAGCTCAACTTGCATAAGTTGAGCTGCATGTTCATGCACATTCCCATCAGCCTCTTGCGTGCACAAGTTGAGCTGTACACACATGTGCATGCCGGTCCGCTGTTCATGCGGCCTGGTTCCCCTCTCCCCCTCCACCAGGCTGCCAAGCAGCAAAGATTGGGGACCACTGTTTTAATGTATAATAAAAGTAGCAGAAGTACATCACTTAGGCCAATCATAGGGTTTTTCCAAAAGTGCCATCTATATGAACTAATTGAAAAAGTTAATGCTTCAAAACTCCAAGCTGAGAAGATTTGGATTTCTAAAAAGTCAAGTAAAGATCTGCTTGCCATATTTTAAAGATTTTTAATTGCAGCTCTGTTCTTCATGATTCTTATTTTTTTGTTAAAAGAAATATTATAGCCAACATGTCTTCAGTGGAGGAGGTCAAAATATGCAAGATGGATGCTGTGGTATCATCATCAAAGCTACATGCTTTGATGGTTAGCACAGTGGTTAAAATGCAGTACTGCAGGCTAATTCTGCTGACTGCCGACTGCCAACAGTTCGGCAGTTCGAGTCTCACCAGCTCAAGGTTGACTTAGCCTTCCATCCTTGGAAGTTGGTAAAATGAGATCCAGATTGTTGGAGGCAATATGCTGACTTTGTAAACTGTTTAGAGAGGGCTGTAAAGCACTGTGAAGCAGTATATAAGTTTAAGTGCTACTGTTACATTCTTTTTGTACCTATGGTAGTAAATAGTGAACCTGTGCCTTCCATTTTGCTGATGTTGACTTCCCCAGTGGCATGACATTAAATGTCTGTTTGCTTTTGCATTTACAAATACCTAAATCTACAATTTGCATTTTAAAAACTTATATGAAATGCTAAGATACATTTGATATACGAGTTGCGTTCTGTGTTTGATGCACAATGATTAACGATTGATCTTGGAAAGATCTTTAAAGCATAGCTTCTATCCTCCTGTTTTGGTCTCTAACATGTTAAGTTTGCCTTATTTCTAATAGAAGGCATCTTGTAATTTGTATACATTGGGCATGCAAAAGTAGCACAGAACTCAATGCATATTTTTCTCTTTGTATCCTGAATAGAGATAGAATATCAGGTAAGCTAAAGCAGTATGTCTGAAAGATTTATATAACTGGATACATACTGTATCTTCTTGTTGTTGTTCATTAAGTAAAGTTTAAAAAAAATACATTAGTGGCAGTGTTTTGAATTACTTGTGCAAATGAAATAGATGATTTCTAAGCAGAGCAAAATATGAATAAAAGAGATAAATACCCCTCTAAAGGTGAGGTGGTAATGCTTACTTTTCCCTTTTCTTCTCTTTTAAATTTAAAAACTCTTAACTGTCATACTAGATTTTTTTCCATATTTAAAAAAAAAACATAAATGATTATCTTCAAATACATATATGGAGCTTTCTTTCACCTTTATTTTCAGACAGAAACACATAATCATAAATAAGTCATGGGTCATGTGCAATCAGATGATCATTATTAGATGGGAGTAAATGGAGGAAGAACTCTCACTCTACTGTCCTTGTTTTCTTTTTATCTTTCAAAGAAATTAAAAAGGGGAGAAAAATCATACACACCTTCAATTTATCCAGGAAATGGTGCATTCCATGGGAAAAAGACAGGGGCTAATGACTCCTCTGAATGCCAGAATTTTGATTTGATTGGCATTGGCTTATGCTGGCAATTCTAGCTTTTATTAAGGGTAAATACCCTAAACATAGGATTTTAACCTATTAGTATTACAATTTCACTGTAAAGATTAAAATTAGAGTACCCTACAAAATAAAAAAAAATACCATGGCATTTCATTTAGTGCACCAGTACCATACTGCGGCATTATTTTATCTAAATTCATAGTATGGGTTAATTTAAAAACATCTACACATTATGTACCTCACTAATGCACAACAAACACAATATTTTTCACATGTAATGAAAATGTTTCTCAGAGTGAACACCTGATAATGTCAAGAGATAAATAATATATATTCTATGCTAGGACATATTAATGTAATTTCAGCAACTTTGCCTCCTTAATTGATAATATTTCGCTCTCTGATATTAGCATCTATACATGAAAGAAACGTTCTGAATCTAAAGTGATCCAACCTATCAAAATGTTTACCAAGAGACTCTGATAGCTGAAATGCTTTCTAGTCAGGGAGAAATGATTTCTTTTTAAAGTGTGTATAAATTAAACTGGTGTAAGTGACATATTGTTGCCTTAACCCCAGAATGGGTTAGAAATATACGTGAAGCATACCCATTTGTAATTAATGTCTGAAGTGCAATACTGTGCTAATTGTAGTTCTTTACAATGCTACTCATGTTTAGTGCCTATATAATAAATTATGATGATGCTTAATAATCTATTATTGCTGTCCCTCGTCATTTTTTCATATAATTTATCACTTACAAAAGCCTTTCTACTGTTCACAAAACCACCTGGAATTTCCAGTTTGGGCAGGTATGGAACCAATGTAAAAATATGGTCCTGATACCCAGTCTTTATTGCAAAATAGATGGTAGGAATGCACCCCTTCAGATCAGTAGTGGGGTTCAAATTTTTTTACTACCGGTTCTATGGGTGTGGCTTGGTGGGCATGGTATCAAACATTGCTGAGGGATCAGAAGCAGAGGTGGTATTCAGCAGGTGCTGACCAGTTCTGGAGAACTGGTAGCGGAAATTTTGAGTAGTTCAGAGAACCGGCAAATACCCCCTCTGACTGGCCCCACCCCCATCTATTCTCTGCCTCCTGAGTCTCAGCTGATCAGCTGGGTCTTCTTTTGCTGCCCTGCACAGGAGAATGGAGCTGGAAAGCAGATTAGCGGGGAAAGAATAGGATTTTGTAGTAACTCCCCCAGAAGTGGGTAGGGAATGGAGATTTTACTGTATCTTTTGTCGTATCGGCCGATACGATCACGAAAGACGCGAGGCAGTGACTGGGCTTAGCTCTTTTATTTAGGTTTTTAAAATCTGCCGCCATTTGGGTATGCGGTGCCAGGCGCCACGGCCAATGACAGCCATTCGAATTGCCCGCGATCGACTCGGCCAATCGCGGTCGATTCCGAACGGCCAATCAGTGCCGCGCGCTCGACCAATCCGGTTGCTGTGCGCTTGTCCAATCAGGATTGCAGGATTACAAGAATGCTAATGTCCATACAGAACACCCCTCCCCTCTTGGTTCGGTCCTACATAACGTAGTCCCATAAGTAGGCGGGGCTCCCTACTTGCCTACTGGACCTGCGCAGATTAGTTGTCTCTTGGCTGCCGGCCGGTTCGGTCGGGATCTGTGCCGCTCTCCGCCTCGTCGATGGAACCGCCTGGAAGGGTGAGTTGGGCCTCTCGCCGAAGCTCCCTCCTGGGCTTCCCGGGCTTGTCGAGCTGGCTTGGCTGCTCCTTCCAGGCGAGGCTTCGAGTGGGTCGTTCCCTGGTGCTTCGGTAGGTGAGTATTGCTGGTTTCTTTTTTGATGGGTTTGTCTGTTTTGTTCTTTGGGGTTTTCCCTCCCCTCTTGGTTGGTGTTTTGGCGTTCCCTCTCTGTTCCTGGTTCTCTGTTTGTGTGTGCTTGCGTGTCGGTTGTATTTCCCGCGGTGGTTCTCGATCGTAGCTGATCGATGTGTCGTTTCCATGCTCGCCCGTCGTTTGTTAGTAGCCGGTACGAGCAGGGACCCGTTACCTGGGTTATCGTTGCCGGTATCCAGAGTGGGTCCCCTGTGAAGTTTTTCGCATAGACCGCGTCTCCTGGTGAGAATGTCCGGTGTTTGCTGGTGGAGTCGGAGGGTTTCTCTGGGTTGTATGTGGGGTGTAGGCGGTCGAGTGGTGATCGCAGTTTTCTTCCCATCAGCAGCTCCGCCGGGCTCTTGTTCGTTGTTGTGTTCGGGGTTATGTGTTGTATGAATAACATCCTGTTGATTTTGTCCTGTATTTCCCTGGTTTCAATTTTTTGAATTGTCTTTTTTGTGAACTGGACCATTTTTTCCGCCCTTCCGTTCGCCGCCGAGTGAGCCGGTGCTGTCAACGAGTGCCGAATCCCCCGTTCTGCTAGGAATCTTTTGAAGGGTAATGCGGTGAACTGGGGGCCGTTGTCCGATACGATGACATCCGGGAGGCCGTGGGTTGCGAATAGTTTGCTGAGTTCCTTGATGACGGCTTCTGTGGTGGTTGTTCTCATGTTGCTTACCTCCAGCCAGTTGGAGTAAGGGTCTATCGTCACCAGGAACGTGTGCCCTTTGGTGGGTCCCGCGAAATCTATGTGAATCCGGGACCATGGCCCTCTGGGGGTTTCCCATTCTAGGACTGGGGCGGCGGGGGGGCTTGGTCTGGATTCTTGGCATTGCTTGCACGATGCCACCCAGGCTTCGATTTCTTTGTCCATCCCTGGCCACCAGGCGTGACTTCTGGCCAGGGCTTTTGTTCTAACGATGCCAGGGTGCCCTTCATGCAGCATGTCCAAGACTCTTTTCTGTAGTTTTTCCGGGATTATGACTCTGTCCCCCCACAGTAAACAGCCCTTTTGTGTGAAGAGTTCTGTTTGGCGGCTCCGGAAGGTTCTGAATTGTTCATCATCGTCTTTTTCCGGCCACCCTTTCTCCACCCACCTTAGGACCCGCGCCAGACATTTGTCTTTATTTGTTGCCAGGGCAATGTCTGACGTGGTTAGGGGGAGGTTGGGTAAGGTCTCTATGCTCAGGGTGGACATGGTGGGTGCTGGGTCAGCGTCCAGGTCGGGTAGCAGTGTGCGGCTCAATGCGTCTGCGTGCGGGATTGACTTACCAGGGCGATGGTCCAGCCGGTAACTGTAGGCGGCGAGGAATTCGGACCACCTTGTCATCCTCGGGGATAGGATGTTCGGGGTGGCCCTGTCCCCCACCAGGATTCCGAGCAGCGGTTTGTGGTCTGTGATGATGGAAAAAGTCCTGCCGTAAAGGTACTCATGGAACTTCTTTACGGCTGCGATGATTGCCAGGGCCTCTTTGTCTAGCTGGCTGTAATTCCTTTCCGGTTTTGAGAGAGTCCTTGAAAAGAAGGTGATGGGTGCTTCTTTTCCATCGGGCTGTCTCGGCGCCGGGGGCTGTAGTTCCTTTTAAAATGGCACACCTTGGCGATGTGGCCCCGTTTGTCGCAGTGCCTGCATATTGCGTCAAAGAACTGGCATTCCGACCGTGGGTGATCGCCGCCGCACCTGGCGCACTGGAACCTCAACTTGCGGCTCCGCTGCTCGCACCGGTCATGTTCCATCTGTAGCCGGTGGATGTCTTCCTCATCGTCCTCGGAGTCGGTGGGGGAATCGAGGTCGCCGTGGTGTGTGGAGGTGGTCGTTCGGCGGGTGGTCTCAGACTGCCTCGGGGGTCGGGATCATCTCGGCCGTGGCTGGGCGATCCGTGGTGCTCGCTTGCTGCATCCGGGCCGCTGATCTCCTGGTCGCTTCCGCTGCGGTGGCCTCAGCGAGGGCGTCGGTGAGGGATATGTCGCCCCTCGCCATGAGCCGGCTCTGCAGGACGGGGTCTTTGAGGCCGAGGATGACGCGGTCGCACAGGGCTTCGTCGAGATTGGTGAATCCGCACAGGGCCCCGAGGTCCCGTAGATCAGCCATGAAGTCGCTGATGCTCTCGCTCTCTTTTTGATCCCGCCAGTAGAAATCGTGTCGGCGGATGAGGGTGGGCACGGCGGGCGCTTAGTGGCTTCGCAGCAGGGGTTCAAGGTTGGCCCAATCCATTGCCTTTACGTCGAGGGGTTTGGCGAGGGCCTTCGCCATCTTAAATACTGCGGGCCCGCAGTGGGTCAGGAACACGGCCCTTTTTTTCTGCCCATTTGCGTCTTTGAGCTTGCTGCTCTCCAAGAACATGAGGAATCTATCGATGTAGGATTCCCAGTCCTCGGCAGCTTGGTTGAAAGGTGCGGGTGGTGCGGTGCCGCTGGCCATGTTGCCGGTTGCTGTTCCGCGTGCCACGTGCGATGTGGGTCTTGCTTCAGAATCCCACCCTCGTCGCCAGTGTCGTATCGGCCGATACGATCACGAAAGACGCGAGGCAGTGACTGGGTTTAGCTCTTTTATTTAGGTTTTTAAAATCTGCCGCCGTTTGGGTATGCGGCAGCTTATATTGAACTGGTGCCGGGCGCCGCGGCCAATGACAGCCATTCGAATTGCCCGCGA